TTTTAATGAATTCTTGCGTAAAGGTCTTTTTGATCAGGGTAAAGTTAAAACAAATTCATTGGAATTTGATTTTTTTTTATTATGTTTCCCAAGCCTGAATAAAAAAAAAAATTTTCTACTTGTTTGTTGTGTGAGTGCGTTTGTATTGCAAAGTTTAGATCAACTCATAATAATAATAATAGTAGTAGTAGTAGAAAATACAAAAAAAAACGTTTCTCAAGGAAAACAACAACAACAAGTGAAAATTGAAACGGATCTTGAATTTTTTTTTTTTCCCGTTGATTATTTAACGATTTTTTTTTTTTTTTTTTTTGAATACGAACGACGGTTAAATTTTGCGCCATTTTTTTTTTTAACATTCAATTTCGATCGGGATGATTATGAATATATTCGTGCCAAAAAACTAGTTTCCTAATAATTACAACGACGAGTTGTTGTTGTTGTTGTTGTTGTGGTGACTAAAACATCGGACACGAGGGGTTAACGTCCTTATCGTGACACATAAATCACTGGAAAAGCCGAAAAAAAAAATTTTCTCCGTTCCAGATTAAGTTAATCCCAAATTTTCCTTTTCCAGGGAAAATTATTTTCTGAATAAAAATTTCGACAATTTTGTAAACTTCTCATCAAATTTGGTATTGAAAACGTTGCAATTACGTCATCGTTTTATTATTATTTAAATTTCACAATTTGTTTATTTTTTTAATGACGTCATTAACGAATGCAATATTTTTAAACATGATGCGTTGAATATAATCAATCGATGATGACTTTTAACCTTTGAATTCTTGAATAAAGTAAATTACAAAAATTTATTTTTAAACGTGTATTTTCCATTTTCTTTTTGAGGGGGGAGAGAAAACGTAAAATTTTTCCAGGGATTCCGGAAAACACGCGCGATTCCCTTCAAGTTTTTAACGTATTTTCATTCCCTCTTGTCGATCGTTCGCTTTTCCTTATAAAAAAAACCATTTGGGAGTGACGAAACTCCACTTTCGAATGAATGAATGAATGAATGATAGCATTCAAAACTGCCAACATTACGAAAAGAAAATTCGTTCAGACATTTTTCCAATATTTATATAAACATTAACAGTATTAAAACCACAGAATACTAAAATCATGACTCAAACTCATCGTTTTTTTTTTCACGTCTGAATCGAATGCTAGTATTTAATTATTATTATTATTATTTATTTTATCCATTGTTTTTGTTCGCTATGATAAAAATACAACGTTTGAATAATATTATATTTCTCCAGAATTTGAATCTTTTTTTTAAAATTATGTCTGTATTGCAAGTTTTCTTCTTTTTCTTTCTGTTAATATTATTCCATTGACGTCTTTTTTTTTTGTCGTCATTGAAATTCGTGAAAGGAAAATTTAAATAATTTTTTTTTTCGTTTTTTTTTTTTTACGGGTCGTAAAAAAAAAATCACGTGATCAAACACACATTTTTTTAAACGTGTAGTATATAAACACCATTTTTTCCTTCCAGTTTTAATACTCTATGCGCTAGTAAATTAAATAGGTGACTAACAAACGTGGAATTTTATTTTTTTTTAAATTCCAAAAGAGAAATGATGATGTGATTGTTTATCTTATGTTTGTTTGTATTCTTGAAATTTTTTCCATTTTAACGGAAAACGAACAAACGAGTCTCACAAAAATTAATAAATATTAATTAATTAACCATAACTAATTAAAAAAGTTAAAATGTTACACGAGTATCATTCGACATCGTTTGTTTTTCAAACATGTGAACGTCACCTGTTGTTGTTGTTGTTGTTTAACAACACATTTTTGCAAATTTGAATGATTCTCTGATTTAACAATAATAAAAAATATAATTCCAGTTTAATTTTCCCACGGATAATAATTTTTTTTAATGATATACATGTTTGTTATTTAAAAAGTTCGAAGACATCCATCCATCCATCCATATTATGAGGCCTAAATTAGTGTCAACGTCTTTTTACTAACAAATAAAATTTCTACGTTGTTCGGTTGTTGTTGTTCGATTGTTTACAAGTTTTTCTTTTTTTTTCGTTTACGATTGCATTGCGAATTTGTTTTGTTTGTTTTGTTTCCAAGACAAGGACGTTTATTAAATTTTGAGAGATTTTTTTTATTTTGTGCTCCAGATTTTCCTCTCTCTCTCTCTCTCTCTTTCTCTTTCTTCACATTCGATTTCATATCGATGCCGTATCGACTTGAGTCTTTGTCCTCTTCTTCACTTTTATAATTTTCATCGGGTGAAAGATTTCGTTACGTTCCAAATGAAAAAATTTGTTTAAAAAACCGTGATTCCTTGTATTCCGCTTACGGAACCGTTTCAAATCTACAACTTTTTCATTTTTTTTTTCTTCTTATTAATATAATAATAATAATAATAATAAAATGAAAGAGAAAAAACAAGTTTTAATGTCTGTTAACTTCTCTCTCTCTCTCACAAAGTAAGGTGTATAATTTTTAATATGAATCATATAGTATGCGAAACGCCCACCAACAAATTCTTTTTTTTTTTAATGAATGGTGGTCAGGCAGAGATGCGAACGAGCCTTGAAGAAAGTAAATGAAAAAAAATTTTTTTTATTCCTTAATACGCCACTGAATTATAAATTAAATCCAAAAGTTATAAACCTTAAATTTTATAATTTAAAACATATGGATAATTAATTCGACAAATGTCCGGAACTGGAAAATCTTATTTCACTATTAAGCCTAAATAAATCGTGATATTGCATAATTATCCTAGCAGAAGACGATTTCCACGTGTGTGCGTGTGCGCGTACGTTTTTTTATTTCGCTTACGAGAATAAGAATGTTTAGAATTTCCTTTAACACATCTTCGGCCTCTTTCGTCGGTAATTTTAATTCTTTTTTTTTTTTTAAATTTCCGATTTGGAAAATTTTGGAATGTTTGAAACAAAATAATAATAATAATAATAAATCTTACGAAACGTTTGAATGAAATAAAATATAAAAAAAAAAGACTTGAGCCATTAAAAAAAGAAGAAAAAAAAAGTCATTTGATTTTATAATTTTTATCGTGGCAGAAAATCTTATAAAAATTTTCATTTGAAAAATCATTCGAATTTTATTATTATTATTATTTACAAGGGTGTAAATAACGCGAGTAATTTTTAGTCGACAAAAAAATCACGTGGTAATTTTTTTTTATTACGTAATAAAGTTTTTTTTTGGAAAATACATCCCGAAAATAATAACTGGATTATTTTAATAAAAATTTAAAAGATGAAAACGACACAAATATTTTATCGCGATCATCGTCGTTATTTCCGTTATCGTCCAAAATTCACATTCCAGAAAAAAAAAATTCCAGAATATTCTATTAAAAACAAAAAATAGAATGAAAAACGACGACGATATGCGAAACCCACGACGGCCCAGACGAAATAAAAATAAAAATAAAAATAAATTTATTTATTATTCGGGATCCATCAGCCATTTTTCCGCTAACATTTGTAAAATGCGTGGGTGACTAATAATAATAATAATAATAATAATAATAATAATAATAACAACAGTCATAAAATTAATAGAAAAATAAAGGAAATAAATTGAAATTAAAGAAACAAACAAAAAAAAATTTTCAAGTTTAAAACTCGCGTTTTTGTTGTTGTTGTTGTTTTTGTTATTGTTATGAAACCACAAAAAAAAACATTCGATATAAATGATCAAAGGTATTGTTGTTATGAAAAGTAATAATCAAAATAATAATGATGATTCATAAATAAAAGGGGGGAGGGGTAGGGTCAACGTATGAATTATTATGAATAATAACTTTTATAACGTAAACAATGAAAACTTTGGAAAAATAAAAATTTTGAAAAACAGAAAAAAAAAAAAAGAATTTTGTTTACAGGTTCAAATAATAATATTAATAATAGATGATTAATAATTAATGTTATTATGTTCTCGAATGTTTTTAGAATTATTATTATTATTATTAATTAGTCATGTCGAAATAAAAAGAAAAAAACGAAAACTTTCTATACTTTTGACACACACAAAAAAAATTATTATGAACGTTAAAAATATTTTTCTTTTCTTTTTTTTTTATCGTCATCATCATCATCATTATTATTATTATTATCATCATCGCATAAATTGAAAATTTTTGGCCGTTAATAAAGTTTTACCACGAAGAAAAATTCAAACATTCCAAGAGGAATTAAATAAAAAAAAAAAAAATCGATATAAATCGGTCAAGGTAGTGCATAACTTTGTCGATCGATCGTTTGTTTAACAACAAACAAACAAACAAATAACAAAAATACATTGTGTTAAACACGAAAAAAATTACCACGGTTTTGTTTGTTTCGCGGGGGGGGAAAAAAAAAAAAAATTTCCATTTTACTTTTTTTTTTGTTTTTGTCGCAAAGGTGAAAACCTTCTTACCCCGATAAGATAAAAAGAAAAGATGCGTGAATCGATTAAATATTTTAAATAAACTCGTGGTGATAATAATGACTTTCATCGTTTTGTGCACGCACACGCACGCACGCACGCACGCACGCACACGCGTGTTTTGTCGCTCGAACGTGCGTTTTAACCATAAAAAAAAAAGGCTCAAATCTTTCTAGAAAATTTTTATGCGAATTCGATATTTTATTGTTAACATCGTCATTATCATCATTTCTTAACGCGACAATCGATAAATAATTTATTTAAATAAATTTATTTTCTTCTTCCACGATATTTTTTTTTTTTATTATAAAAATTTTTACTTTCTCCCTCCCTTTCTCTCTTTCATTCCCCCCCCCTCCTCTCGTCATATTCATTTCAAAAAATTTTCTTCACGAATGTTTATTATTATTATTATTAATTTAAATAATTTGTTTTCAGTTTTTATGGTGTCATGATATTCGGAGGTTAAAGTTCAAGCAAAAATCGTCAAGAGAAAATATTAAATTTTTTTTTTTTGTTAAATCTAACGACACGACTGAAAAAGTATTTTGAAAAACCGAAAAACAATGGTAAGGAGTTTAACGCAATGGACTAAAACCTTAAGTTTTCCATCGAGGTTGACTCCCCAAAAAAATACGTCATCATCGTCATCGTCACCGTCATCATCTGTGACACCTCCTGGAAGTGATGTTTCAATATTTTCATCGATATCTCCTCAAATAGAAGAACACGTGAGTTTTTTTTTTTCTTTTTGTTTTCTTCGAATTGGTGACCTCCTGGTTGATTTTCATTATCCGGGTTTATTATTACGTACTTCCTCTCACTCCGAGGGTATATGCTCTCACTTCCTTTCTTCCCCTCCCCACTCCTCCTCCTTATTATTATATACATTCCATAAATATACAGTTAAACGATTTTTTTTTTTTAAAATTATAATTAGAATTTTAATGACGCCATTATTTAAACAAAAAAAAATTTATGTTAAACGGGGGAGAGATTTTTATTTTTGTTGCATTTCAACGATTCTTTTACGTTTCTCCCCAACCCTTCTACCTTCCCCCCACTCAACCCTTCCCCCCCATTATATTTATTCAGCTTGGAAAACAAAAAAAAAAAAAATTTGCAAACAAAAGAACTACACGCTTTTCTTTTCTTAAATAGTTTCGTATCGATGAAAACAATAAGAAATTATTATTATTATCAACAACAACAACGCACGCGGCAAATTATTATTATTATTATCATTATTATTATTTTAATTAATTGACGCGTAAATTGTTAATTTTATTCTAAAAAAAAAAAAATATTTTCAAGGCGTAAAAAATTTATGTTAATATAAAACTTAATTAAAAAATTCGCGACGTGGATACGATATATATAATAATAATAATACCTATTATTATTATTATTATTATTATTTAATTAATTAATTATTTAACGTGAAATAAATATATCGGTGCATTATCATTTTAAACGTAATGAAAATACGAGAGAGAGAGAGAGAGAGAAAGAAACAAAGAGGTCGAAATTAATCGTCACGCAAAAACGTCGTCAGTGAAATTCTGTTTAATATTTTTAATGTCATACGTAACGTGATTGACCCACCTTTAAATACGGGTGTGGCAAACACGCACGCACGCACACACACACGCACACGCACTTTTTAATTCTTAAAATCCGTAAATAAAAAAAAAAAAAAAATTTTAACTGGACTTTATTAACGAGATTCCATCATCCCACGTAACGCGTTTCCTCTCTTCGATTAAAATTAAATTAATAATAATAATAATAACAACTTCCTTTTTTTTCCCCGAAGAAAACTGGATTAACTCACGAATTTGTTTTTTTTTTAGATTTACACGGAACCAAATTCAGAAAAAATAATGATGGACGCCACGGTTTGTTGTATACATCATAAAAAAGGTTGCAAATGGACGGACGAATTAAGAAAATTAAAAGCGCATTTAAACACTTGCAAATACGATGCCTTACCTTGTAGCAATAATTGCGGAGCGCAAATTCCACGGGTATTAATGGAAGATCATATGAAATACACGTGTCCGCAAAGAAGAGCAAGATGCGAATTTTGCGGTAAAGAATTCATAGGTGCTACTCTAGAGGTAACCGACAGATTGATTGATTGATTTATATTACTTACCTTTTATTAAAATTAGTCGCTGATGATTTTCTTTTTTTCCCCCGAATTTTCCAGTTACATATGAACAAATGTAATTACGAGCCGATATATTGCGAAAATAAATGCGGTCAAAAGGTTCAAAGAAGACTTCTTCAACAGCACAAAGTAGCAGATTGCAGTAAAAGATTAGTACCATGCAGATATTGTACGAATGAATTCGTAGCAGATACACTACAGGTAATGAAATCCTCGGAGGAAGAAAAACAATCCTCCATTTTACTGAAAAGAAAGAAAACAAAAAATATAATTAATAATTTTATTTTAAAAAGGTTCACCATTTAAAATGCGAAAGGTTTCCGGTAACCTGTCCGAATCGTTGCGAATCGGGTATGCTGTGCAGAGAAGAATTAGAAAAACATTTGAAAGAAGAATGTACCACTTTAGTCGCTTGCTGTCCATTCAAAGATGCCGGTTGCAGATTTATAAGTCCGAGATTCAATTTGGGAAAACACATCGAGGAAAATTCAAAACATCATTTGACTTTGATGTGCGGTGTCGTTGCCAAACAACAGCATCAGATATCATCGTTGAAAAACGCACTCTCCAAACTATCTCTCAATTATTCCGGTACACTAATATGGAAGATATCGGATTTTACGGTTAAATTATCCGAAGCTAAATCCAAAGATGGAGTAGAACTCGTGAGCCCTCCTTTTTACACTAGTCAATACGGTTATAAATTACAAGCTTCCGCTTTTTTAAACGGAAACGGAGCCGGAGAATCGACTCATTTATCAGTTTACATAAAAATATTACCAGGAGAATACGATGCTCTACTCAGATGGCCTTTTTCTCATTCTGTGTCGTTCACACTTTTTGACCAAAGCCCAAATACCGAAAAGGTAAATCCAACTATAATTAATAATTTCACCGCAAAATTATTATTATTATAATGCGTTTTTAATCCGTGCGTGGGTTGGTTGTTCCAACGAACAGGTTTTCTTTCCGCCCACAACGTTATACCCTTAAATAACGTTACGCAATTTATAAGGTGTGCATGTTTGCTAGAGGGTATCCATCCGTTCGGTTTGCCACATCATCAGGCGTTCGCATAATCAATCGATAATATCCTTTTATTTTTTTGTTGTAGGCATGCAACGTCGTGGAAAGCTTCATACCGGATCCGACGTGGAAAAATTTTCTAAGACCCAGCAAAGAGCCAGATTCGTTGGGTTTTGGTTTTCCCAGGTTCATTTCACACGATCTCTTACATAAAAGATATTTTATAAGAGATGACACGTTGTTTTTAAGAGTGAAAGTTGATCCGACGAAAAACGTGGCCGTTTAACACCCCTTTTCTTCTACTTCTTATACTTGCCAAAGATACACAAAACAAACAAAACAAACAAACAAATAAAGTTAATTAATCGTAATGAAATAATACTAATAAAAAATTTTTTAAGACTGTTTAAATTAAAAAAATTTTTTTTTTTTGTTTTGACGATGCGAAGAATTTAAATAATACGTAATGTTAATAATAATAATACTGATGATAATAATAATAATTAATTTTTAGTGGTTAAGCATAAGTTTAACGCAATATAATAATAAAAAAAAAAATTTAAGTAATAAATTTAAAAAAAAATTTTTCTCTTTTATTTACACTTTTAATTTACTTTGTATTTACCAAATAATCAATCAATCAATCAATCACCACCAAAAGTGTTTTCTTTTATAAATATATTATTAATAATAATAATAATAACGGTTTTAAATATTTATTTAATTGAAAAACGAAATTCAAAATCCAAAAAAAAATTATCCTTCCATTTTTTGATAAATTACGAGTCGTGGCACGAGAAAACCACCGAAAAACGGTTTTTTTAAATACAAATTTTCCGTTTTTCGTTCGAATAACTCCCCACTTAAATCCTTTACTCGTAATTAATTAATTAATTACAAACGAGGAGTTCGTTCGTTCAGTTAAATTTACATTTAATAATAATAATAATAATAATTATAATAATAATAATAAATAAATAAATAAATAAAAATTTTTTTAAAAATTAAATAATTTTATTTTTTATTTTTTTTTTCGTAGTAGTAGTTTGTTGAAGAAATTAAAAGCCTATTTACAAATAATAAAAAAAAAAAAAACAATAGTAATAATAATAATAATAATTACAATAAAAAAAAAAAATTTTATAATAATAATAATAATAAATTCTCTCGGCCGTTTTTTTTTCTTTCACAATTTTCATTTCATCGCATGTATATATTTAATATTTATAATAATAATAATAAAAAAATCAATCATCGCATCGTCTATTGATTTTATTGATTTATTGATTTTTCATTTATTTATTTCGTTAAAATTAAAATTTAAAAAAAAAAAAAAAAAAAAGATTAAGAAGGGAAAAGGCTTCGTAATTGAACGCATCCGGAAAAAATTTCCACGAAAGAATCAAAAACGATAATAATAATAATAAGAGATTCGACGAAATATTTTTCCAAATGAATTCGCTGATGAGAGTCCGAACCGGAAATTAAAATCGCGCGAAAATGAATCCGAACGCGTTAACACATTGATGATAATGATGATGATGACGACGACGAATAAATATATATAAAAATGATTAATAAGAGCACTTGAGAAAATCCGAAACATTTTAATTTTTTTTGTTTTTTTTTTTCGAAATAACCTTTCGACCTTAGCGAAAAAGATCCGATCGGAAATATTTTTAATCAATCATTTACGATTCGCGTCGAACCGGAAGTTACTTCCTCCAAACCTTATTTCTTTTAATATTTTTTTTTAAAAAAATTTTTCACGATGTGGGACACGGTTATGACGTCATACACGATAATAATGACAATAATAATAATGATAAAATCAAAGAAAAAAAAAAATTTAAATATCGAGAAAAAACAATTTACTTGTTAATTTTTTTTCCTGCTTTTTCCCCCTCTTTTCCTCTTTGTTTCTTCGGCCTTTTCCCTTCTTCTTTTTTTTTCCTATTACAAATTCATTTATATTTCATTTATACCTGAAAAAAAAAAATTTTCTAATTTATTTACATAATTATTTATTTATTTATTTTTTTTTTCTTTTTACCGGATACCGAAAAGAAAAAAAAATTTAAAAAACAGCGAGAGAGAGAGAGAGAGAGAGAGAGAGAGAGAGAGAGAGAGAGAGAGAGAGAGAGAGAGAGAATTACCACGTTTTTTATCTTCTTTTTTACATTAATTATCGTAAGATTTCTCCCCCCCCCCCATTTTCCATCTTCCATAGATCAGAAACAGAAAAAAAAAAATATTCGAAACGTTTGTAGTTTGTTACGTTGTTTGTTTGTTTATTCCGTGGTAATTAAATCGATCGAGTTCGAAGTAGAAAAATAAGAAAATAAATCATCACGACGAAGAAGAAGAAGAAGAAAAAAAAAAAATTCATTTACATATCTATTCCAACAGGATTCAGTCTCATATAGCAACCGTTGCAAGTAACACTGTTATGTCGTCCGGTTTCCCCCCTGAAAAAAAATAAAAATAAAAAAAATTAAAATGAAGATGGCGGTGGTGGTGGTGTTAATCGCCAACCTTAATAATAATAATAAAACAAAAGAAAAACAATTAATGTAAATAAAGACAACCTTTAACGTCTATTCCGTTCTTTCTCGCGTTGATGGCGAACGGAGACATGTAACTACTGTCGAAGGCTAAATTCCTCGCCATCCACGCTATTGTATTGGCTACGCATTGGATTTTTATCGGATCTTTCTCCCCTTGAAGTTTGACTAGTTCTGTGATTAAAATCGAATCGGGAACGTTATCGAAAACTCCATCCGTGGCAACTAATATCACGTCGCCATCTTCTACGGGAAAATTTGACTGATCCGCTGATTCCGGCCTGAAAAATGAAAAACGTTCGACAATTGAAAACGAAACGTTCGCCAGGTATTCGCCAGGTAAAGTTTTTTTTCTAGATTTTTCCCAAACCTGTCGTTTAAAACGACGTCGTAATCGGGCGGAGGCAACGAAAGTTGAAAAGGAGTGTTGAAATAATGAAGTTGCTCTTCGGAACGGTGTACGACTTGTCCCTGTCGAACAATTACAAAACCGCTGTCGCCAATGTTCGCCGTGTAAATCATGCTGTTTTCTTTATTTAAAATAACTATGCAAGCCGTGCTACTTCCTGGAAACAAAAAATTTACTTCGTTAGCAAAAGAAAAAGAAAAAGAAAACGCGAAGGAATCGTACAGAAAGAGAGAGAGAGAGAGAGAGAGAGAGAGAGAAAATAAACTTTCAGTTAAAATTTTAAATAAATTTATCGTTTCCAAAAATAACTTTCGTGATTGTCGCCATTGTATCAACCAACGGATCGTTACGAGTAATCAAAAAAAATTAAATTGAAGCTTTTTTTTCGACGTCGAACGTGTTGTTACGTTCTTATTTAAAAACAACAACAACAACAATTTACTTTTTGTTTTTCCAACAAACAAATCGTAAAGTAATAATAATAATAATTATTATTTTCTTAAATACCTAAAACGGCTTGTTTCGTTTCAAATAATTCGTAATAACTTTTGGCTAAAAGATCTGCCGGATCCGTGGGTAAAAACCTTCCCTTCGTAACGAGCCGTTCGCAGGTTTGCATTAGAAAAGATGAAAATTCTCCAGCATCTATTCCGTACTGCCTCCATCCTCCCACACCATCTGCAACACCTGTTTAAAAAAAAAAAGAAAACAAAATCCATTAATTAATAAAATTTATTTGTTTCGTTTTTTACGTCCTTTTTATATGTAAATGACATTTTTAGGAGTGTCACACCGGACAGACACTCTCGCCATTTTCTTTTCTTACCAAAACATGTTTCGCTTACGGTGAATTAAAAGAGGAATTTGGGGGAGGGGGGAGGGGAGGGGAAATTGTTACGTCGTCGTCGTGATTAAAAAAGAGCTTAAAAATGTGAAAAATTTCAATTTATAGTATGGTAAAGTTATTTTCGATTTGCAATGTGTGTAAATAAACAACAAAATCACGGGATCCGTTGAATATTTGCCAACACGAAAAAAAAATACGACCTTTAAAAACAATGGGCAAATCCTTTACCATTATTATTATTATTATTATTACCACGACCACCACCACCACCATTACCACTCCTCCCATTTTTAAAAATTTGAACGAAAAACTTTTTATTATTAATCAGTGTTCGTCGATTTCACACATTGTATATTAATAATAATGATTTGATTAATGGCTATTACGCTCAAGGAGGAAATAAACCTTCATTTGAAGGAAAGAGGAGGGGGGAGAGGGAAAGGGAAAAATTCAAAATATAAATAAAAATAATTCATTCAACCATGGACGATGTGAGAGGGTAAGAGAGAGGGAGAGAGAAAGGAACAAAAAAACAAACAAACAAACGAACAAACAAATCAATTATTACAAATCTTGACGATTGATTATTGTTTAACGTCGATCGACCTCAATTAATAAATAAATATATTTACTAATTGATTATTATTAAAAATTATTTGATAACTAGAGGAAAATTAAGGCGAATGTAGCGCAAAAAAATTCTCATTTTTTTTTTTCGGCTTTGACACGCAATTCGTATGCGTGTGCGTATACGTAAAAAAAAAAAAAATTCAAAACAGGTATTTTAAAAGAACGCTCTCGCACCACCATCACGTGCACCTTCACAGATCAAATTCAAAAATTCGAACCTGAATATTTGTTTTATTTGTTTAAATAATTTAATGACTAAACGAGAAAAAATTTTGTTATAACCTACTTTTTTTTTTTTTTTTTTTTACTTAGTCTGCTATCCGAAAAAAAAAAAAAAAAACAAATTAAAAGATATTTAAGTTCATAATAATAATTTAAAATATGTTTTTTTTTTCTTTCTTTCTTCCTTCCATCCTTCCATTCTTTTTTTTTTTTTTTTAATGTTTTAAAGGATTGATAATTACCTCTAACATTATTTTGAACGTAAAAAAAAAAAAAAATTATAATGACCCAAGAAAGAAAGAAAGAAAGGGAAAAAAAACCATTAGAAATTTTTTTTTTTTTTGATTACCTTACTGCAAACGGCGGTTTAAATATACAAATGAGTTTATTTTTGTTTTATACCCCCCCTCCCCCTCCCCCTTCCTTTTTTTTTTTTTGGAGTATTCATTAGTAAACAATGAAACAAAATAATAATGAAATAAAATAATGTAAGTCTAATCGACAAAAGTAAAAAATACATTTCTTACGATTTCATTAATGATTGAAAAATTTTTTTTATGCAAAACATGATTCTTATTGGCACATTTACAATCATGTATTTGTAATTGAGGTGTATCAATTTGTAGTTTTTTTTGAATATCAAAATTCATTAACTATAGCAATGATTGTGTTGTTGTTAAATTTGATAATTATTTTATATGAATTATAATCATATTCGATTATTACTTTATTGTAAGTCAGCTTGAGACGAAATCATTTCCTACACCTCGATTAAAAAGAGTAAAATAAACCTTTTTGGATAAAAAATAATTAGCAAAAGTATTTATATTTGAAAAACATGCACATGTTTGAAAAAGTATGAAACTTATAAATGATTCATTTACAATTTAAAATAATATTAATAGTTTTTTTTGAAGAATGAAATAATCAACACACGCTCGGTTTTGTCATGATAATTATAAATGTGCAATTAAGAATAACATTAATATCATTTTAAAAATTTGAATAGTAAAAGTAAACTGCACCTTTTTTATAAGGTGAACACAAGTCATCATAAAAACAAAAACCTTTATTTGGCATTCATGTCACATAGTTTTGTTAACGATTGAGAGCATAACAAACTTTGTACTTTACACAGTGTGTAATACTCACCTATGACATCAGCAGTTTTATATTTTGCCGAAAACCAAGCGTCATCACCAAATTTCCCTTTTCTTAATGCTGAAAAAAAAAAATCTTTAGGGAACCCGCAAACTGCGGAAACTAAATGAGAATCACGTTTTCTATTCACATTAGATTCAAGAGCATGAGTATCATTAGTGATGCTGCTCCACAAAGCACGAGATAAAACTCTTCCAGTCCAAATTAGGGAATGCATAGTAATTTAAAGTCTAAATAAAATTATTTATCATTTTAACAATGTTAGTAAGTTTCGACTCGAAAACATTTAACGACAAGCTCACCAAATCGCACAACAACACCATTATGAAAAATTGATCGCAAAACAGCTGTTACCAACCTTTGAGAAAATAAAAACGAATTAAAATCGGTCAAAGGAATATATTTCCGGGATCGTTTCTCAATGGTGCAAAAAAAAATAAACAATTTTTTTATCGATATATACATAAATCTAAACAATAATATTACTTAATTTTTTATTTTTCCTACATTTTATAAAATGTCTTCGTCGAAATTAGATTCTCCGTATTCTGCTAGTTGCGGACAAGATAGTTACGATTTTAATGACGATCAAGATGATCCAGACGATGGAGATGAGGATTCTGATGAAGGTACGCTTTTTTTTTTTTTTGCTGATTAAAACGGTTACTTAATTACATTTTTAAAAATAAACTTATTGTCACACATATTTCCTACTATTTCACTAGTCAAATCTGTGTCAACGAGAAAAAAAAAAATTCCTTTGATATTTTTATGTGTTATTAATAATAATTTAAACTCGAATTATTCCAATGTTGTGTGCGAAAAAATTGTAAACATTGCTTTCATAAGTTTTTGCAACAACTTCGTAGGCCATAATATTAACGTTTTTCAGGTTTTTTTTTCTTTAGCCATTGTGTTTTATGCCTAGTCATCAATTTTTTAACTTGATCACATTTTTTTTTAATTTAGTAAATAAAAAAATAATTAATTGATTAAATTTTGTAGATACTGAAGATGCAAGTGAAACTGAAATAGGAAAATCTGAAGAATACACAGAAATAAAAGAACAGTGAGTAAATGTTTATTATTTCTAATAAATATATATGTGCATATTTTTCAATTACACACATGGTTAACACAAACATGCATGCTTTTCAGAATGTATCAAGACAAGTTAGCAAATCTTAAAAAACAATTACAACAGTTAAAAGATGGCACACATCCTGAATATAATAGGTTAAATAAAAAATTAGAACAGGAATACAAAGATCGTTTAACATTAAACAGTGTATCTAAAGCATATTTAATTGACAGAGTTGAAAGAGACTTTATTAACGAAATGAAAGCAGCAGCTAAAGAATACGAAGAGAAAAAAATCGAATTGAAAGAAAATTTAATAGCAGAATATGAAGAAAAGAGAAAAATGATTGAAACAGAAAGGCATAGTTTGGAATTACATGGTGACTCGATGGAAGTTAAACCTGTCATGACGAGAAAATTAAGAAGGAGACCGAATGATCCGTTACCAGTGCCAGAAAAAAGAAGAAAACCACCGCCTGCACAATTAAATTATTTATTAGATGAAAAAGAAATAGAATTAGATTTAAAAATTATTAGTCGTGGTAGATCTCTTCCGCCTCAAATAAGGAGGGTGCCTTTGCCTGGTAGTTTAGGAGTACCACCTCCAGTACCTCAAAATGATTCTTCTTGCCATGAACCGAGAATAGAAGATGGAAAGCTTAGATATGAAAAAAGGTTTTTTCACAGGGGACAACCTGTTTTCGTCGAAGGAAAAGACATTCCTAGATTTGCAGCTAACATTCACAATATCGGAACAGATGTGGTAAGTTTGAATGAAAACCAATCATTACTATTATTTTTTAAAGCAACTAACCAAAACAAAAGCGACATTTTGTTTTTTGTTAATCATTCGAAACCCTTCATTTTAAAAACCAAAACCTTTTCATGCCACTTCTCCAATACTATTAATTTCCTTTTTTTCTTTTACAGATTTGGGTAAAAAAAGTATCAGATTCGAGTAGATTTAGAATATTTTTATCACAACTTAGTAAAAAAAAAATTCACATCGAAAGGAGAGTTCCTTAGTTGCTGCTAATCAATTAATAAAACCGAAAATCAATAAGCTACAGATAACAAAACTCATTTTTTTTTTTTACTCTGTTTTACACGTAGACATTTTTTTTTTTTTTTTAGGAAAATTTTATTATTATTATTAAATTTGATATTAATTTTTTATAAAAATAGAAAAATGAATTAATGAGAAGAAGACAAAAAAAATTTTAATTTTATTATTAAATTTTAAACGAGATGATGATGATGATGATGATAAAAAAAAAGGTATAAACGAAGGTTTTTGTATAAAAAACCTTATTTAAATGCATTTTTTTTTAATGAACGTAATAAAAATAAAAAAAAAATTCATTTGCTGTTGTTAATAATAATAATAATTAAAACGTATTATAATTTAATCCCTCGTAAATTATTACTACTACTACTAAAAAATAATAATAATAAATTAAAAAAAAAAACGTGTTAAATAAATCACGCGTTTGTTGTTTTAGAAAACGAGGAGTAGAATTTTTTATTTATATTTTCATTCGAATTTTAATGATTTAAAAAGAAGAAAACGTTTTTATTATTTTTTTCTCTTTAATCCGTTTATAATTATAATTTATTATTGGTCAGTAATTGTGTCGTAAAAAAAAAAAAAAAAAAATTCAAGAAATTAATTCTCATTTGTTTTTTTTTTTTTTAATTAATTAAAATGGCTGAATGCGAAAGAAATGCGAATGAAATTTTTTTTTTTTACTTTAAAACCTTCAACTGAATTTATATATATAAAAAAAATTTAAAAGGATGTCTACGTCATCACGTTTTCCAAACCGGAAATGATTTCAAAAAGAATATATTGTGCGCGTGCGCCGCAAACAACAACAGGAAGAGAAGAAAGAAAAACTATTTCCCATCAACACGAATGCCATTTTGTTTGTTTGTTTGTTTGTTTGTTTATCAAACGGAAGAATCTCCCGGATTTGATTGTTGTATATTTTGGGGTTCTTCTCTCGGCGTGTCACTCGACATTGAATTCGTCGTCATTTCACGTAACGATCTTCTCGTCGATTGTCTCGAATCGCTACTGTGTACGGAGGATATGGCAACCCTATCCGTGCTCCCACCGTTCGGATCTCTCGGCATTATTTTAACTATGTTATTCGCTTGCCACCATATGTACCATATTCTCATGTGAAAACGTATGGTGACGGCAACCCATAGATAATAGGCAAATGTTAACAACACGACCATTATCAACAGGGATATGGTTGTCCAACGCGATGCCGGAGAATATTTCGTGGGTTCTTTAGAATAAAAATCCGCTGCTATTATGCAAGAATAAACTCCGATCAATGCGATCGGGGTTAATACTATGAATACGACGAAATCGCTTTTTAATCCTCTGTGATATTGAGGATTACGATCTAAAAACACCCAATAGTATATGGAATAAAGTACTCGATATTTTGGAGTTCTTAAAGTTTGAAAATTATAACCGCAAAGCTCGCATGAATGCGTGTTGGACACGGACAACCATTTTTCTAAACACGATATATGAACTAATCCGATCGTGCCCTAAGAAAACGACAAAAAAAATTATAATGATAATGATAATAATAATAAACCGATACGATTCGAATATTATCCCTTCGTACACACATCTCTCTCTCTCTCTCTCTCTCTCTCTCTCTCTCTCTCTCTCTCTCTCTTAATTATTATTATAAGAGAGAAGAAAAAAAAAAAAAATGGAATCGAGTTTTATTTTATAATTTCCCTTGCTACTCCTTTTTTTTTTTTTTTTTTTTTAATATAAAAATTTATCAATAATTATAGGAGGAGGAATAATTCGAAGACTGACATAATTATAATAATTATAAAATTCATCGATCGATATTTTGCGCATGAAAAAGAGAGATAACAAGTAGTTTTCGAAAAAAAAAAAAAAAAAATTCCTTCTAGAATTCTAGAGATCGAGAGCAAACGTGTACTCATTCACTCGCACGCGCTCACATTTCGATGTGTGCGCGTATACGTAAGTATATTTAATTAAAAAATAAACCCCCCATCCCGCCCCCCAACGACCTCCCCACCCAACCCGAACGAACGAAAATCCCATATGAAAATATATACGTGTAAAAAAAAAAAAAAAAAAAAAAAAAATGGAGTCAAGATGCGACATTGAACGAGATCAGGGTTAACGATCTGGTTTATTACATACACAGAGAGAGAGAGAGAGAGAGAGAGAGAGAGAGAGAGAGAGAGAGAGAGAGAGAGAGAGAGATTTACCCCGTAAATAATAATCCAAACGGAAAATTGCCTTTTTCCATTCAAACTCGTTTCTTTTTTTTTTTTTTTTTAAATTTTAAAGAAATGAATTGAACCAGGTAATGGAAAAAAATAAATAAATAAAATTATTAATATGATGACGCGCGCGTGAAAAACGTTATTCTAAACAAAATGGAGAAAAAATTAACCTTTTGAATGTGTCGAGTGAAAGGAGTTTTTTTTTTTTTTAAATAAACAACGGATTCGTATAATAAAATAAACGTCCTCATCATCATCATCATCAAAATTTCTTCTTCCTACTTTAAATTAAATTTATGTCGTATTAAAATCAATCAATCAATCAATAAAATCAATAAAATCGAAAATTATCCGTTAACGTAACGTATCGATTTTTCATTTACGTCTCTAAATCATTTTTATTATTTAAACAACAGCAAAATCATCATCATCATTATTTATTTTATACGTTTAACCTTTACGTATTTCCGTTTCCCTCTCCCTTCTCCCTTCCGTTTAAATCCCGACAGAAAAAAATTTTTTTTAAAAAAAAATTAAATCCTTCGTCGGAGTTTAATCCAACAAAAAGATAATCCAAAGTTAATCCGGTTAATTTTAATAAACGTTCGTTCGTTCGTTGGTTGCTTCCACGACGATTTGAACGTTATAATAAATTTTTATGCCATTTTTCTTTTTTTTTTTTTTTAAAAACTAGAAAATAAAAATGGCGAGCGTAAAAATAAAATATGGCCGCTTTACGAAGAATTAAATCCAATTTTTTTTTTTTTTTCCTTTCATGCCGTAAACTCGACATTTTTTTTTTTTTTTATTAATCAAGATTTGAAAATTAAGAACGTGTAAAACGAGTATAAAAAGAATAAAAAATTCTTTTTCCTACCTCCCCTCATTTTCCTACCGCCTTCCGCCCCCCCCCCCCTTAGAAGCCCCCCCATGATTTTGATCGATCGAAAATAAAAATAAAATAAAATAATAAAAATAATAATAATAAAGTCGTTGTCGTTGTCGTTGTCGTCGATGATGATGATGATGATGATATTAAATTCACACTGTTATTATTATTATTATTATTATTATGACCGAGAATGTGTAAATGCGTCAGCGACGTTGTCGTCGTCGTCGACAAAATAAGGTACCGTTGCAAATTTTACGATTTTTTTTTTATTATTTTATTTGTAATTTGCAACTTTAAAAATATTTTCATAGCTTTCCTGCCTCATTTACGACGACGACGACGACGACGACGACAACAACAACAACAAAAACAACAACAAACCTCATGTTTGTAAGTGAGTGAATGAGCGCGTTCAGAAACCAGCCAATGAACTTACGGTAAATAACCTTAGTTTATTATTCCATAATATACTTTTTTATACCCCGGTTAATTTCCATTTGCAAAATTTATTTTTTTCCTTTTCTCTATCTCTCTCTCTCTCATTACATTCATTCAATTTGTTTTTTATCTTTTTCTCTTTCTTTTTACGACAACGACGTAAAGGAAATGAAAAGAAGAGAACGGAAAGTAACAAAATAAATTAACACAGTTGTTAATGAGTTATTAAAAAAAAAAAAAAATTAAATATCAGGCTTCTTATCCTTCCGAAAAAAAAAAAAAAAATTCGACACATAAAAACCAACGGTTAAAATTTAAATTTAAATTTTTATGGCCTCCCTCAAAGAATTTTTTTTAATTTACGTCCCAAAAAAAAAATTTAAACCTTGACAAATTAAAAAAATCTTTTATAGATTTTTTTTGTGTGTGTGTGTGTGTGTGTGTGTGTGTGTGTGACACACTTTAAAGGAAAACAAACAAACAAACAAACAAATAAGCTTAAAAAAAAAAAAAAAATCGACAAACGACAAAAACAACAACAACAACAGGTTCGACTCGATTTTTTTTTCCTTTTAAATTTAAAATTCGCAAACTACGATCAAATTCCCATAAATAAATAAATAAAACAATCGAATCGAATCGAATCGATATAATCGATTAATCGATTTCGGAGAAAAAAAAGGGAGTAAGAAGAAACAAAATAAAAATTTTCCGATCCTGTTTATAACCCTCACGTAACGATGACATAAAAAAAAAAAATTATTAATGTAGCGTGACACGTGATCTATTAATTAATAATAATGATAATAATAATAATAATAATAATAATAATAATAATAATAATAATAATTCGCAAAAGTGATTTTAAAAAAAAAAAAAAATCTAATCTAAAAACAAAAACTATTTTTTTTTTTTTTTGGCAAAACTTTTTGACCTTTTGGAAAACCCCAGAGGTTTGAATAAGAAAAGGGAGATAAAGCTTTTCCTAGATTTAATTCCTAATCTATTTATAACAGGGGGCTGGGGGTCAATGTGACAAACAAAAAAAAAAAAAAATTTGATTCATTTCGCCGTTACCAAATGTCGAAAGGATACAACCGAATTTTTTTTTTTTTTTTTTAGCCTAGTTTTTACGATGCCTTATCTCTATCTAACCTTGATTAATAATATTGACATTTACTATTACAACTACTATTACTATTATTATCATTATTATTATTATTATTAACGAGAATCTATAAATAATAACGCGAAAAAAAAAATAAACGTTTTTTTTTTTTTTTTTTTTTTTTGTACTGTCCCAAATAACCGAATGAAGCGTGAAAATTTTTTTTAAAAAGTAACACGATTTAATCAAATTGTGATATGCGATAACATTTGTGGTTCGCGACCTTTGACCTATCAAAAAAAAAAAAAAAAAAAAAAACTAAAACTTCAAATGGTCCAACAAGCTTAAAATCCCGCGAATGTCTTTACGTCGCGTTTATTGCCAAATTCTATATACCGAGTTAGTTATATTTTGTCCGACAAACGTTTTTGGTTCAATCGTTTAATTTTTTCGTTTGTCGTTTGTTTTTCACTTTCCTCAATTCACATGGTAAGTTTGATTGATTGTTACGTTAATATTACTTTCAAATTTTATTATTATTATTATTATTAACATTTTCAACGGATTTTAAAAGAAAAATCGACGGCCGAATGATTATCGGTGATATTTTCGACGTAGGCGTCTTACATCATACGTAAACAATAACAATCCCGTTTGTTGTTGATACCTCCAATCGAAAAACGTCGAGAAAATCCTTCAGTTTTTGTCGATTGTTAAACAACAACCCACCCCGTTCGATGCGAATAACACGATCGATATTTAATATGTGTGATCGTTAAATCATCACGATTGTCGTTCTTATTATTATTATTATTACTATTAGTTTAGGCTTTTACAGGTAGGCCGAGGCTAACGTTTTGTTTACTCGTCATATAAATAATTACCGAACGTCAAAAAAAAAAAAAAAAAAAACATAATTCGTCGTAGTTTTTGTTGTTTGTTGTTGTTTGTTGTTGTTGTTGTTGTTATCATCGTCGTCATCATTACCACCCCCATCGTCGTCGCCATTGTTTAATGTCCCGATTTATTTTCAAAAAAATTTCGAATTTATTTAGTACCCAACTTTTTCCTTCTCCCCTCCCCCCCCCCATTCCATAATAACTGACTCGAGTGAGAATTTTATCATTATTATCAATTCAATTCATTTTTTTAACGGAAAAAATAAATAAAAACAAAAATTATTAACAAGAAGAAAAAGACAAATTTAAATAATTTAAAATTTATAACTTATTAACTGTTTATGTAACACACTTATTCTTCTTCTTCTTCTCATTATCGTTATTATTATTATTATTATTATTATTATTATTATTATTATTATTATTATTATTATTATCATAAACGTTAAGCGTTTTTTTTAAAAAATAAACTTTTGCAAAAATTTTATTTTTGACGAAAATTCATTGAATTTTTTTTTTTTACAGAAGTAGTAGTAGTGGTCAGACGAGTCCGTCCGTTTTATTATTATTATTATTATTTATTTATTTATTTTTGTAAATATATTATAAGTTCACGAAAACAATAATAATAATAATAATAAGAAAAAAGTTTTAAAAAAATTTTTTTTTCAACTGGAAAATTTTAAAAACAAATTAAAATTTTGCAAAAAAAAATAAAAATTTGACGTAGTTAATAATAATAATAATAATAATAATAATAATAATAATAATAATAATAATAATAATAATAATAATAATAATAATAATAATAATAATAATAATATTAACGTCATCATTTACAATTATTATTTATTTATAACATTCCGAAAAACAGGAGGTCATTTATAAAAAGAAAAGGTGGAATCTCGTCTAAAAAAGTAGATCAAATTCTAACGATTTTGACAAAGGTCAAGAAACCAGATATAAAAACCCAAATTCATCGATCAGGCAATAAGAAAAAAAAAAAAAAAAAGTACCCGCGATGGGAAATACCAAATTGATGGACGTTAAGGAGACGATGATGATACCTACTTCATCCTCTTACATCTCTCTCTCTCTCTCTCTCTTTGAAAATCCAAAACCTCAACGTTAACCGAATATTCGCCACGAAAACAACAACAACAATAATAGTAATAATGATTACCACCACCGCTCATCTTTTTTTTCCCCCCCATTATTATTATCATTATCATTTTTGCGCGCACGAGTATAATAGGAAATGGAAAAACGTATTTAAATACGATTTTTGAATTTAAAGATTTTGGCATGATATCCTCGCAACCTTTGCCAACATTCAATCTCTAATAATGTATATTTTTAATAATTAATATAATTGAATATCAAATGATTTCTTTATATAAAACCAAAATAACAAATGGACCCGAGGCAAATTTCCGCAAAGATTTCCTCTAGCAAAAAACGCAAAAAAATGCAAAAAAAAAAAAAAAAAAAACGATTCGAACTCTACAACTCGAATTATTTTATGTATTTTCAAATGATTTACAGCAAATTTATCCGTTTGAGTCGGTCAATTACGGCAAAAATGCACTCGTTGGGCGCCGCTCCGGCGCTACGGATATATTATTATTATTATTATTAGTAGTAGTAGTATGAATGTTTTATTACAGAAGAAAAAAAAAGAAAAAAAAAAAACTTGAAATCCGCAAATACTGTCACACTAATCTCGATAATAATAACAACCCACCTTCGGGTAGTAAGAGACTAAGGGTAAAAAAAAAAAAAAAAAATTATCAGTTGAACCCGCCCCCCCCTTTGCCCCCCCTAATTTTCAACCGGTATGAATTAATTTACTTTCTTTGTTACTCTTTTAAGAAAACAACGACAAAGAAAATGTTTCGAGATACGCGTAAAAATTAACATTTCCAAGAACCAAATCATCAACCTCATCATCATCATCATGATTAGGATCGATAACATCTTATCCTTTGGTATAATTTGTTTAAAAATAAGGTTTTTAAACGTACCTTACATTTACAGGGTGTGATAGGTATTTCCTTTTTCTTATCATCGAAACATATTCTGCAACTTCTTTCTTCGTGATTTTCACACGTTGTACCACCAACACCACCACCAACGCCACCGCCACCACCACAAGTGAGTCCATCCCTCGTTTTATCTTCTATGCAAACCGGCCTACGCCTATTACGATTCCTTTTACTTATTATATGAGCTACAAATGACATTTTTTTTTTTTTTATTTAAAAATCTATTCACAATTAAATAATGTAAATAATATTCGCCATTTTTATTTTATATATACATGAAAAAAAAATTTCATTTACCTCATTTTTTATTTGCTCTTTTTTTTTTTTTTCGCGTTCCGGAAGTATCCTTAGCATGGTTTATTCATTATTATTATTTTTGTCTTTTAGGTCCAGGTTTTCGGGAAGTTTCTAGAATATTTTCTTTTAATTTTTTTTTTTTTTTACGTAAAATAAAAAAAATTTTCATGATTCATAGACACGTTGTTAGACGCTTGTTAATTTTTTTTTTTTTTTTTTTTTTGTTTCTTCACATATGTGACGTAATATAATGAATTTGCTATTTTGTATACACGCAGAAAAAGAAAAAAAATTATTATTATTATTATCATCATCATCATTATTATTATTAATTTTATTTAACTTAAAATTCTTACACTTTTCATAATCATCGTAAACTTTGAATGAAGGAGACCTAACATATTTTTTTTTTTAAAATAAATTTCATTACTTGAATTCTAAACAAAAATCAAAAGAGACATAATTATTATCATTATTATTATTATTACTATCTTTTTATTTATGTACTTTTTATATTAATCTCACAAAAAGTTATTAAAGTCCAAAAAAAAAATAAATAAATAAATAATTGATACGTTTACGCGAAAAAAAAAAATTTTTTTCTAATTATTTTCGTTCGTTAAGGTCTACTCTCTCCCCCCGCACCCCCTAAAAAACTACAATAAAATAAATAATTAATTTAATATATATATTATTAATAACTTATTATTATTATCATCAAAATCAAGCACCAATCGAATCAGTCTTAGCGATTTAACAATTTAAAAAAATAAAAAATAAATTAAACGTTTTCGATTTTTCTTTTTTTTTTTTCACGTCGTCGTTAATAAATTTTTATTTATTTATTTATTATTATTATTATTTTCTACTTAAATAAGGATTAAAATTAATAAAATTATTTTATTATTAATAAAATAAGGCAAATTCGATTTTTTAATAACGTTTTAGCTAAAAAACATTAAATAAAGGCTCGAGAAAAATTTTTTCTTTTCATTTCTTGACAAAAAATTTAAAACGAAACGATTATAAAAAAAAATCGCTGATCGTAATAATAATAATAATAATAAAAATACTAATCGAAAACGATAATCGATAATCGAAAACAAAAATTTCCGTTAAAAAAAAAAAAATAAAAATCGATTCGTCGTCGTCGTTAATCGCGCATCGAAAAGAATTTCAAAAAAAAAAATATTATACATTCACACTCCTGCGGGAAAAATTCGGGAAGGGAAGGAGGGGAAGGGAAAAAAAGGGAAAAAAGTGCGTGTTGGGTGAGATGAAATATTATGAAAAAGGCACGTGACTCACGTCGAAGTTATTTCCCCGGATTTCTTCTCGCGTATTTCCAATCTATCTAAATCCACGACTTTTTTCAAAACGTTCTCGAAATCGAATCTCATGAAAAAAGACGTTCTCTTGAGTGCCGACAAAGATCTCAACCTTTTGACAGGATCCGCCACGAGCAAACGATCTATTAAATCCTTCACTTCCGCTTTGCAATCCATTTCCGGTAACGATCGAACGAATCCGTTTTCGTCGAGGCAACAATCGTAAGGGCACTGCAATACAAAAAAAAACCAACAAAAAAATTATTTTTAATAAAAAAAAAAAAAACAATTCGGAAATTCCGATGGCATGTTGTTTTTCACCCAAAAGCGAAAAAAAAAAATTCATGTAAAAATTGTACGCGTTCGCACGCACACGCACGCACACACGAAAAGAGAGGAGAGAGAGAGAGAGAGAGAGAGAAACATAGTCCCGAGAGAGGACTTGCATTCCTCCGAACAAGTGTGTGAGGTACGTCAAAATCAGTCAACTCCCACCCGGTGCATACACGATCCAAGTAAATAAAAAGCCCAGGTAATTCCATTCAACTCAAACTTGTGTTTAAGAAGTCGTACCGTTAAGTCGTCGTCGTCGTCGTCGTCGTCGTCCTCGTAGTCCTCGTCGTTGTGTTCGTCTTTTTTTTTTTGTCTCTCTTATATTATTTAGTAATTTATTACTTTTTATACGTTCTCTCTCTCTCTGTGTGTTTAGTCGTCGTCGGTCATAAGGGAATTCAAACGTTCTTCGTACACAAAAATTAAAAAAAAAAAAAACCACACGCAAAACAAACAAGTAAGTCGTCATTTTTTTCCTTTTTTTTTTTTTTTTTTATTGTTTTATTTATTATTTTTTTTCGAAATCGAAAGAGAAAGAAAATGAGAAAACTTTTCGAGAAAAATTTTTTTTTTTTCATCTCTCTCTCTCTCTCTTTCTTTTCGTGGGTATATACGTGCTGTGGGTGTGATAAACATTTGGATGCTGTTGTCGTCGTCGATTTGTGAGATACATCGAATCAAATTTTTCCCTATTCTTATAAGTTTTAAGTAAAAATTTTTTTTCCCCCTCCCTGCCCTCCCCTTCTATCGATTTCATTGACGGGATCGACAGGAGGAGGAATAGGGGAAAAAAAAAAAAAAATTTTTTTCTTATTTTTCCACGCCGCGATTTTTCCAACGAAATAAAACCAAAAAAAAAAAATTTATTCGGTTAAAGTTATCATTATCATTATTATTACCGTAACGCCGCGTTTTAATTAGTAAAAATCTTTTTTTTAATGATTTTTCCCCGTCAAGAGAGGGTCCCCCTCTCTCCGGAGGGGAAAAAAGGACGCGCGAAACGTTTTAGAAGGAAAAAAAAAGAAAAAAAAAAAATTTTTTTTTTTTTTTCTTTCTTTCTGCATTTCGAAACAACTTTTTCCCATCGGGCAAACAAATACCGGTTTTTTAACATAATATTACTATTATTAATAATAGTAGTAATAATAATAATAATAATTTTTTTTTAATGGGTGTTCCAGTGGCTATTAGAGACAAATAGTCTATAAGATTTTTCTACTATTGCACTTTTGAACTTGTACTATGAAGAAGTCAGTGAACTTTTTCCTTTTTTTTTTTTGTTCAAACTTGAAGTAAAAGAAGAAAACTCGTTTTTTTTTTTTTTTTTTTTTTTTTTAAGTTTAAGGCCTTGACGTGTGTGTGCGCACCGATCGGAGTAGGTTTGAAACATTTTTCTCCCATCTCTACTTCTTAGAATCCCCCCCCCACCCACCCTCACTCACCCACTCACGTCTTTCGTGACAATTTTTTTTTTTTCAATAATTAGTGAAACGTAAACAAATAATAATAATAATACTAATAATAAAATGTCGAACGGGTGAACGTGAAAAATAACAAACAACAATGCATATATATATTTATAAATTACTGTAACGAACCTAAAGACAGATTTTCAATTTATTTTTTGTTTTTTTTTTTTAAACGATATCGATATCAAGGGTATATGTCAGCCATTAAAAAAAAAAAAAAAAAAATTTTCCACAGCCGAGATAATTAAAAAAAAAAAAAAAAAAAAAAAAAAAAAAAAGGGAAAAAAGTAAAATATATACATATTAATTGTTTTTTTTCTCTCTTTTTTCTCCCTCGTTTGTTTTTCCGCGCATCTCTTTCAATAAAATAAAGATAAACTATTAATAATAATAATAATAATAATAATAATTACGCGTAATAGATTTTTTTTTTTTTTTTAATGAATGCGAATAAGCACGTACGTTTTCGTTGCCTTTTTTTTTTTTTTTTTTCGTTGTTTTAAAAAATCGAATGAATCATTCAACATTGATGATGATGATAATAATAACAAAGGCTAAAGGAAAATCGACAACAAACAAATTTAAAGCAAACGATTTCGAATTTACATCAGAAATAAAAACAATCGAGAAAAAAATTTTTTTTATGGGCCTTGCCTGGAATTAATTTCGAAGGATTTTTTAATTAAATTAACTGGAAATTATCGTTGCCTTCCTGCTGAAAAGCAAAAAAAAAAAAAAAAAACTAGAAACAATGCGAAGGACGTCGTCGTTTCCCCCCTCCCCTCCCCCTACCCCCTGCTTATAACGCGTTTGTATAATTTGTTTCTAAAGAATTTTTTTTTTTTTTTTTTAAAAAAAAACCAGGCATTCGACAATTTATATTAATTAATGTTAGTTCGTAACATTCTTTTGACAAGGACGGAAGCTTTTTTTTTTAAAAAGTTTCTTTAACTAATTGTCCCTACTTTTAACGCAATTATTTTAAACAATGCCAATAATTGAAATAACCTTGCCAGCCAACATGTTCGCAAAAAACCAAATATTAATTTATCATCCAGGTAAAATTGATGGACAACTACTAGCTCTGTTTGATTTTTATCGTACGAAAAAATTCAAAACAAAGAGAAGAAGACGAAATAATGACGACGATAATAATAATAATTAATGTCACGAAATATAAATTTTTATCCAGTAATAATTATTATTATTATTATTTTTTTATAGGCAGCAAACATGAAATTCGTCGTATTACTATTTCTTGCCTTGTGCGGATTAAGCACCGCCTACCCGATCGCCGAAGAAGTCAAAGAAGTAGCTCCCGCTGTGGTTGATGCCGTCGCTTCCGCCGTTCCAGTCGTAGAACAAAAAGTTCAAGAAGTTGTACACACCGAAGTCAAAGACGCTGAAAAACCCGTTTCCGCCCAAGATGCACAAAAAAGTGAGGTGGTGAGCGAAACTGTCGTTGAACATACTGCGGTTGAAACGACCGAAGTAAAACCGAGCGAAGCAACCGTCAACAGCGAAAAAACTGTTGAAGTTTCCGAAGTCGCTCCGGCTTCCGTATCGGCCGAAGAAAAAAAAGATGTTAATGTAGGTGTCGAATCTACCGTTGCTGCCGCTGCTGAAAAAGTTGAAGAACTGGTTAAAAAGGAAGTTGAAGTAGCTCACGCCTCTCCCGTTGTAGAACCTGAAGCAGTCAAAGAAAGTGTTGTAGAATCGAAACCTGAAGTCGAATCGGCCGCTTCGGAAGTTGTAGAAAAAGTCGTTGCTCCTAGCTCTGAATCTGTTTCTCAAGTACCAGTAAAAGATGAAGCTTTTGCTCTTGCTGAAAAACTCGAAGCCGCCGCAGTTCAAGCTTCGGAAAGAGTTGTTTCTGAAGTCGTCGAAGACAAAGTTAAAGTCGAATCGGTGCCCGAAGTAGCAGCCGCCGTTTCTGCTGCCGTCACGGAAGCTGCAGAAAAGCCTACATTTCTTGCCCAAGGAGACGTTTCGGTTCCAGTCGAATCCTCGAATACTGTTAGCTCTGGTTCAGCGGTTTCCGAGGCCTCCGTTGCCGATCAACCTGCCAAGCCCCTCGTTACCGAACATTCCGTTTCTCCCGTCGTTGATAGCGTTTCTTCCGCGGCCCCCGTCACCGATAGCGCTGCTCCCAATTCCCCCGTGGCTAGTGAATCTTCTTCGGTATCCTCAGTCGTAGAAGAAGAAGTAAAAAAAGAAGTTGCTCCCTTAGTCGGAGACGTAAAACAAACCGAAAGTCTAGCAGCTGATGGAACAAGAGTAGTAAGAGAAACGGAAAAAGAAAAAGAAGAAGTACACAACGAAAAAGAAGTTGTTACTAAAGAAGAAAGCGCTAGAGTTGCAGCCCAAGAATTGGAAGCTATAAAAAAAGTTGATGAATTGGTAGAAAGTGAGAAAAAAGACGTTCAAGCAGCCGAAGAAGCAAAAGCCGAAGCATCCGAACCGGTCGTTGTAGCTGTTGAAAAACCACACAGTGAAGTCTCTCCCGTCGTGAGCACCGAAAATAAAGTAGACAAAGTCGTAGAAGAAAAAGTTCAAGAAGCCGCAGCCGCAGCCGCCGTAGAAGTCCCGGTAGCACCCGCAGTCGTCCCTCAATCCGAAGAAAACAAAAAATCCGAAGTTGAAGCTCAAGTTTCCGAAACCAAACACACAGAAGTTAAAGTTGCTCTACCTTCCGCCGCCGTCGAATCGGTCAAAGAAAAAGTTAAAGACGAAGTCAAAGAAGAAGTCAAAGAAGAAGTAAAAGAAGAAGTTAAAGAAGAAGTCAAACAAGAAGTCAAACAAGAAGTCAAACAAGAAGTCAAAGAGGAAGTCAAAGAAGAAGTCAAGGAAGAAGTTAAAGAAGAAGTCAAACAAGAAGTCAAACAAGAAGTTAAAGATGAATTAAAAAAAGAAGTTGAAAAAGTAGTCGAGGCCGCACAAGAAAATGCCGAAAAAACCGTTGAAAAAGAAGTCGTTCCTGAAGTCAAACCCGAAGAAAAAGTCGTTGAAAAAGTCGTTGAAAAGGTATCGGAAAAAGTCGTTGAAAAAGTACCCGAAAAAGATGTCGTCCAACCCGTCGTTGACAAAGTTGAAAAAGTCGCCGATCACGTAGATGTCAAATCCGAAGTCGTCGCCGAAACCGTTGAAAAGAAAGTTGAAAGTTCATGAACTTTATAACAAAAGAAAACAAAAGCAAAAACAAAAAAAGAAGACAAAAAATGACAAAAAAAAAAAAAAAAAAAAAAAAAAACGACTGAGTGTGACTGAATTTGAATGGATAGTAGTGATCTCCTCGCCTTCTTAATTTTTTTTAACGGTGGTGAGACATGAGATATATGAGGATTTTCTTGACCGACTACCCTTGACACCTTTTTCCCCCCTCCCCCATTCGCAAACCTTTCAAAAATCAAACACCTAAACTTTCCCCCACCTCCCTTCCCCTCGAGTAAATTCCAAGCTTGAATTTTCAAACCTTCGACGAGTTTTTCTTTGTTTTTTTTATTTTTTTTCTTTTTCTTTTTCTTTTTTTATTATTTATATATATATATAAAAGGGGCCATTTTAAAAGTACACAAATGAAAAAAAAAAAAAAAAAACGAGTCGATTAAATCAAGCTTAGAATAAAAAGGGGAAGAGAAAAGGGGAAGAATTGAGATCCTCTTTTACTTGATCATCCCCACCTAACTTTAATAATAATAATAATAATAATAATAATAATAATAATAATTTTTTTGCTTAGT